GAAATATTGTTTTTTAGTCATTCTGGTTTGGTTTCGTGCACGTCCCAATATCCCATTACGAAAAAGCTAGCATCGCACCACCACGGCTAAGATAAACATCCGAATAACAAACAAACCCAAGCCGAACAATCCAATAAAAATCCCGTCGATAATATTTCACCTACAAAATTTAATAACCGAATAAAACCCAAGCCTTGCGAACAGAAACCCTTCCGTCGTAGACTTGTCTATGGAATATAAATCAGGGATCTAAATTTAATTTTATTCCTTACCGATGTTTGGACATTCATCTTATCTTTCTTTCGATAAAATATGGAAGAAACCGAACATAAATTCGAGTTGTCAAATTTAAATTAGTTTCACTTTGGTTGATGATTTCATTGTTGAATCGATAGATGAGGATAGTAGGCTTGGCGGTAAGTGTTTGGGAAAAAAGTAGGAAGCGATTGAGCTTTTCACTGACATGATGGTAAATATATTCCGGAGAAGAAATCCAAAGTAACACCAAATTTTTATCACTGAATAGAAGCAGTAAAAAACTGTTACAGGGGTAAAGATACAAGGTCTTTCAAAATTCAAAAATCACCCTTCCATTACAGAAATACAGTATGTCCCTTGAGGTAATGATACACTAAACATACATTTTCGATAACAGAACACTCGTTACATTGCATCAATTCTAGCTGTTCAATGTTGATCAATCTATAATTGAAAAAATTAAACTGATTTTTTTTTAAATAAATATGACTGTAACATAGCCAGTGGTTAGAAGCAGTTACAGGTGAACATTCTGACCAGGAAAGTATACAAAATCACGTCAGGAACAGCTCTATTAGCCAGAACTGATAGATCTGCATATTCTCAACAGTTACTCCTCCATTTTTAGAGTTCCCAAAATCTAGTTTTTCATTAAATCATATAGAAATTCTAAACTGTGTTTCAGATTCTTGGTTAGTGATAGACATCTGTTAATAAAGATATTAATTCAATTTCTTTCTCAAACAATGCTAAATTCCATGACCTGTAGTAACAGGTTCGATAAAAGTCCAAAGATTCAACTGTTTCCTGCAGAAAAATTTTGCACCACACTAATGAAATATCTTTTTTTATTCACAAATATGCCTTACATTACTTGAGCGAAATTTTTTGAATGAATATTTGAATTATTGCTTTATATTATCAATTCTCTCAAAATAGTAATACTTTCTTTCATTATTCGTTACGGCTGCAACATATTTCAAACAAGATATCAATTATGAAATTTTCATTACTGGAACTATAATGAAATAGTCAAATGAAAACGGCGGATCTCAGTTTGAAGCTACAATCAAAATTTGTGAAGTATGAAAATTTCCAGAAAACTAAATGATGAAAATGAGAACAAGATGAAAACAATAAGTGATATGAACGTAGTTTCAAAATCATTTGTTGCTTAGGAAAATGAACTAATCTTCATTTATATCCTTTATCATACACCAACAAGTTACAAAAAGTTCAGTGAATAACTAAGTATCAGTTTGAGAATACACAAAAATGAATTTGATTTGATAAAAAAGTAATAGCAATGAATCGCGAAAGATTTTGTAAATGGGTTTGATTTAGTCGTCCTAGTTCAGGCTAAATATGATAGTCTGGGCTTTAAGTTTAGATTCGTGTTAAATGGAAATACTTTCAGTAAAATTGAGTCGTTAGACTCATTCGATCCGGAATATTGTCTAGATCATTGTGAGAAAAAAGTAAATTAAAATGCTAATATAACTTTTAAACTATTAGAGATACGACAATAAACATTCAGGTCATTTTCGTAGATAATTAAATCGTCTTTCAAATGCCATTTTGCATATATTTTATGGTTATTGTTAATTTGTTGTTTTAGGCATTGGTTTATAAAAATTAACGATTTCCTCGGGTTTTTCCACTATTCAGGCTCACAGCTCAGTAGATAATGCGAATTCGGATATTGAATTCCGAAGCAATTTTATCAAACTATAAATTATCTTACAGTCGCAGTTGGTTATTTGTTCATTTGTTCATTTTTTCATGAGATATTAATGAATTTCGCAAAATTTTGGGAATTATATTCTCACCTAATTGCTTACTACTATTTCACTGTATTCTAGTGTGTAATTAAAAATTGCTTTAACATGCAATAATTTCATTAAAAAATATAAGGACACAAGGTTAGAATAATATTGTTGAGTAGATATGATATTTATATAACTGAAAGCAAATTATTCCTTTCAAATACAAAATTTTAATTATATCACGATTTTTTAAAAATTTTCTATTTACTTTAAGTACCTCAAAAAAAAATATTTTCAAGTTAAGTACTCGCTTAGAAGCCGTGCGCGCAATCTAAAAATGGCGGGTGGGACGTCTATTTTCAGCTTTAAATTGAAATTATAAATAATGGAGATATCGTTTGGGGAGTCGGAACTTTTTTTTAGTAAATTTCCTCCTCTTCAAGGATCATTTTTTTCAAAATTCAAAAATATTTATAGTTTACGAATTATAAACAACAAAATCGAACACTGCTTTTTAGGGTCTCATTCCCACGAAATTCATTTTATAACTAATTTACTTTTTTTTCACAATAATCTAGACAATAATCCGGATCGAATGAGCCTAACCACTTAATTTTACTAAAAGTATGTCTATTCAACACGAATCTAAACTTAAAGCCCAGACTATGATAACTTAATGAGGGGATGCATGCTGCAGGTACTAAACAATGTAACAAGATGCACAAATGAAGACAAAATATTTGAAAATATTTTATCAGAAGAGAAGTAATGACTGACAGCGCGCGTTCCGCTAATCAAGTTATCATCATAGGGAAATGGATTAAACTCCACCTATACAAAACTTAATGAACGTAGCGTGATAGCATTCACCGAAACAACCAATGCAGACATACTAGGACCCCTGAAACCCAAATGAACGTGATTAAACTATCGGAAAAGGTGGATAAACTATACCCAGACTGACCTGGTACCTGTAAAAATAAAGGTTGAGATATCATTGATACTGGTAAGACATACCTACAGAAAGACAAGTCAGGTTTTGGCCCACTTGACATAATTTTTCCCTACTCTCAACGGTGCTTCTTTGGCTAGCTGATCGGAAATGAAACAAGCAACTGGCAGGCTGCAAAACCTTCGCTTGGTAGAAAATAAAGAGAGCAATGACAACTACACCAACTCTCTTGAATATACCTTCTTCACATCTTTTAATAACGAATAGGGTAAGAGTGGGCCAATTCAAACTGAAAAATCCATCGAGATAAAAGAGAAGAATAAAGAATATGTGGCGAAACCATCACGAAACATCAGAGAGAACAAACTCCAGGCTAGTAGTCCGTGGTCGAATGGAACCGAACGTTTCGTCTGATACTGTGACATACATCATCAGTGCGTTTACTGTGGCTGTACCAAATTCTACGATATTGAACCATATCTGAACCTGAATCTATGAGACATAAATTGTCCGGGAATATATACATGAGAAGGCACTACAAATATTTGTGGAGGGACCGTCTAGTAAAAATATGTTTCAACAAAACAAAGATTGGTTCAGACTAATTCTCATTTTACTTATCGAACACGTTCTATTCATATACCACCTGATTAAAATAGAGCTGTATAACAGGGACCTTAATAGCAGACAAAGCAATAAAGAGATTGAGACACCTCGTCTTGTTTGATGTGAATGCAAGACACTGGATCATAGGAGGTGAAAATCAAAATGATGAAATGTTAAAATTATCGAAGATCCTGAAAATCACCGAACCGAAATATTCGGATGTCACTTGAAATAAAAAAAATTTGCAACAAAAAATGAGGGATACCTAGGTATAAAAGTCAAAATGAAAGTAGAATAAACTAAAATAATCAAGTAAATAATGAAAAATATTTTACATGGAGTTATTTAACGATATTTCGATTATTAGGATCCACAATAATCATCTGATGACTTAGTGAGGAGAAGTAATCCATGGACAGTTCAAATTGTGTCCATAAGAACGTGATAAACACTTTTTTTATTAATCGTTTTGAGCATTTTCACCTTCCACCATCTGATTTTTCTCCACAAAAAATGACTTTCGTTCAATGTGATAAATACTCCTCCATGAGGCTGCAGTATATCAAGTTTCAAAAAAATAATATACCAGAACTGGCTTTTTACTTCACGTACCTACGCTCAATATAAAACAAAATGTAATCTTCTTTCGGAGGAAAACAAAATAAAATATCGACAAATGAGGTTTCTTTAGTCACGAACCGGTAATGTAAGTGTTTATGAAACAATTTGTTCTCTGAATTTATAATAAATAGCACAGAAAGCAAATTTGTTCTCTGCATCAAACGTATAAAATTCAACTTATAATAATGAACAATTGGAAAGCTAGAAAAGTTTTTTTTTTTTCAAAAATTATCCATTCTGAAAAACACTTTGTTTTCTTCCCTTTTATGTGTTTTATCCTGAGGCAACAACGTTCTAACGAAGTCAAATTGTTAGCGAATATATACAATGCCCAATATTACTCACATGTTTGATCTTATCTTCAACAAAATTGCACTCGATAATATCTCGTCTTATCAAATCTTGTATCGCTTATTTTATTAGAGTGACTTCATTTCAATAGTCGTTGAAGGATGTTATTCCGATAGAATAAAGCAAGTGTTCAATTCGAACCTAAAGTGTGCTTTTAATTGAAGGTTATTACAGTGACAGATGAATATATAGTGAAAGGTTTTCCAGAGTATATCTAAAAAACACTCTGTGTTGAAAGATAGTATTTTCAGACGGTTGCTCCCAAAACAAATTGTTCATTCTGCCTAAATAATTGATACAGAAAGTGCATATTCACAAAATGTTGGATCGTATCGATAAAGTGACTTTTGGTGTTGCTGGAATTATACTTACTGATATTTTCCCAAATAATTGTCAGGAAAAATTCCCTTGACATTTTCATATGCCTAACGTCATCAATAAAAGCCGTCACTAGTATATGATGATTTTTGGTACTATTTAGAAAGTTGAAAAGTTAAATCGAAACTTCCTTTGAATATGTCCAGCTTCAGAGATCAGTTTATGTTACACTGATGACTCGATACTCGACACTTCCCTATCAGAGCATTCAGTGGTATGTTTCACATGCTATTAAATATTTCATTGTCAGAAAATAATTTTTAGAGAGAACTGGGTTTCATAAAGAAGTCAGTCAACAGATTAAGAAGTGATTATCATCGACATCATTCTTTTAAAAAAACTACGAAAAGAAGCCAGCACTATGACACTTCAAGAAACGATAGTAAGCGTCATAAGATATTGACATAGTGAGCCCGCCAATAATATCGCTCGGTTTTGAAAAAGAAATACTTAGATGAGGCTCACAGAGCAAATAATAAATTGAGAACAATTACGACAAAACCTCAGTGCCGGACAGATCAAAAGTACACGGCAAGTAGACAACCAAAAGATACCAGTGCCCAAAAAAGTTTCAGGACCTCAATAATCGTCAAAATTGGTGATTTGAGTTTAGTCGATCCAATAGAAAGCGTGCTCTTTTGGAGAAATCTTGGACTGTATGTGTCAATTGTGATATGTTATACAATGCGAAAATACGTACCAATACAAAAATTCTTTTTTACATTTGCTCTTGTCCACCTTTCAAGTTATATATGTTTTTAATTTGTGGAACCAAATTTATAGAACAAAAATAATATGTGAATGATACATTATTTCATTATATCCAATTTTTTCATAATACCAAAAGTGTTTAATCGATGTGACATTCATTTTTCTACACTGTAGCTTTGATTTTGTAAGAAACCTCCTATTTAAATTCTCAAAATTTATCTTTTGTTCATGTATATTTTAGAGAAAGGATATTTAAGTGATTCCGTATTCCGTCAATTTTACAGTCGTGAAGAGGTGGTCTACTGAAATACAAACATCAGGGATTCCATCGTACCAGTTAGATTCTACACACGTTTCCTTAAGGTTCCTGACACTTGAACTAATTTATATTTCCCATTCATGTTGGAATCACAAATTCACACCATTGCATAAATCACTTTGGAAGATATTGCTTCAAAAGTGACTTGCATTAAACATTTCCATTGACAAGATGGTAGGAAATATTTGTAACAGATTCATTTCCTTTCATCCATTTTTTATCTCGGGGTTGCCAAAGGTTAGGTTAGGTTAAGTCCAAAGTGAGTGGGTCTATTCAATCCCCCACCGCAATCCGCAAGGGTTTATTGTGGCTCACACCAATTCACACTCGACCAAATAAACCCAGCTTCTTGACGAAGCCAATTAATTTGTAAGGTGAATGGTCTTTCCCGTTAGATAATAAGAGTACGGTTCTGCCGAACTCTAAAAACCTGATTCGGTCCCCAGCGGGGCAGGCAAAAATCATGTGCTCTCCTGTTTCAGCATTTTTCCAAACGGAGGCGACACACACTGTCTTCCAACAATCCGAGTCTCTGCATATAATGATTCAAATGACAGTGACCTGTAAGAAGGCCTGTTAGACATCGTAGTTCATCACTACTGTAGTCCAACAACTGTTTGGTATCAAGCTTCGAAGCGTGAATAGACGCCTTGGAGTGAGCCAATCCTGAAAGATTCTGCCAGAAGTACATAAATCTTCTTGCCATCCAGGTATTCTATCTATGTTTGGCAAAGCCTAAAGCGATACCAATGACAGGTTCTCGTCCGCTGAAGCTGCTTGCCAAAGGAATCAATAATGAACTGATAACAATAAAAATCAGATACCCCCTTGAAAGTGAGTGTGGTGCTCCCCAACATAAGTGTCATAACTGTAAGTTGTTGAGGTGCACCTAGCATTCTGTTCACATTCAAAAATATGTGAAAACGAAACGGTTAATTTACAAGCTACATTTTAATCACCTGTATGGGATATAAACATGTGCATTCTATTTTGTCGGCAACATTTAATACTCCAGAAAAATCGAACGTATTGGAACTTTTTTAGTTGCCATCGCCTGTATGCGGGTTCTCATAAAACTAATGTTTTCTGTTTTTGTGATAAATCGTTTCTTCACCTGAGCGACTATCTCTACCAGACTCCAGAAATGTTCTTTTCAATATTTCCGACTTCGCTTCATCTATATGAGATATTTCCGCTCACGGCTCTTCCCCAAATAACGACATATTCAAAATAGGTTAGAAGGCGATGCAAATCGTGTTTGCACTAGACAAGCAGCAGATGCGGTAGTTGGCCGAATGTATTTGAACAAGATACAGCAGCAGCGGTTGTGTATTCACGATTTTGTCACGCTGGTTTGTAAGCAAACAAACTTTTACATCTGGCCACGACCACAGGCCTCCAAACGACCGAGTAATACGCAAATAGTTTCAGGTACATACTATTTGCGAGTGATTCTGTGACAAGAATCGAGAGTGGTTTTGAAGAGGATGATTGTTGCAATCGAAATCAAGAGCAGATTATGTGAACCACTGAAAACCCTCCAAGCGTTCATTCTGATACAATAATTAAATAGAGTCAGTGAACCAGACGCCATTTATGCGCCAATTCACGAATATCGAGGATTAACGAGGTTTTCCAAGGTTATCAGTTACAAAGCTATACTTCGACATTGATAGTTGAATGAGATTTATCCTTTCACAGGAGCTTTCACTGTAAGTCAAGTAGATGAAAACAAAGTTCAAAAACAAAGCATTCGTCATTTAACACCAGACAGCGCTGATGAGGGTCCTCGTTGATCTTTAATAGTGGTAGACTGAGTCTTCGTGACGGGAAAAGTCATCGTCGTTCACTACTCAGACTTGTCCTTTAGGGAGAGATTAATTAAACATTGCATTCGTGATCCAGTCTATAGGACATATGGTAGATCGAAACAGCACTATCTGGCGTTAAATCATGTATGCTTTGTTTTGGAACTCTGATTGCATGAGAAATTATCATTTGTTTTTTCGAATTTAGCACACTATAGTTCGAAAATTGAGACCTATAAGACAAAGGTCCACATGAATTTTTTGATGTGAAACTTCTATAGCCGCACGTGACCGATTGCTGGCGTGGCAACGCACGTGGCGACGGGTCTTCATAGGCAAGCGACTGTGCAATTCTCTTCCCACTGGTTCAGCGTTATGTTATCCCTCTCGCCACAATGAGCTCGGATACCTATAGTATATACAGTTGTGTTTACTATAATATACATAACCTATGTTTCACTTAATAAATAATAATAATAATATTTATTGTCAAGGATACATTGTTCAATGATACAAATTGTACGAGTCAATTTCCAAATAAATATAGAATTCCCACAGAAGGATATACCTGTGCGTGGGGTCTGCAGAAATTTGAATACTAATGAATACAATTTAAAATTTGAATACTAATGNTGTTATAATAGCAATTTTGAAGGGGTTTGGACATATTCCACTACTGAAAGACCAGTTTATCAGGTAAGTTAATGGTTTTGCAAGTTCTTTAGCTATTAATTTGATAGTTTCTGCTCGGAGATTGTCGATTCCGGGACATTTTTTATTTTTTAGGTTCTGTATAGTTCGCTCGATTTCTAATTCATTGGTTTCTTCTAGGAAAAAGGAATTAATATTTCTATTTTTCAGATAGTTTTTTCTGTAATTTGGCCTTTTAAGAATGTCATTTGCTAGGTTTTGACCAACATTCGTGAAATATCCGACGAATTCAACTGAAATAGCTGATACATTCTTCGACATCCCATTCAATTTATCTTTAAGTATATCCAAATCCACAATATGCACCTTCAGGATCAAAGAAAAAACACATTTATTTTTGGAAAGTGAATATCAGATCAGTGGTATTGTATTTACCACTTGCAATATTTCTCTATAAATTTGCAAAGACTCCATTGTCGCTGCTCGATTAGGAATTAATATTCATAAAATGAATATACGAGAATCTTTTCGTCACCATTTATTTGGTGCTTATTACCATAACTTTGGTTAAGGAAACAGTTAGATTCATTAGGTTTGAGATCATATATATGTAAATTTGAATGAGCATTCACAAGAAATGAGATGATCCAATAACAATACATCGAAATCGAAAACTATGCAAGACACTTGACTAATCTGGGCCACCACGACCAAACCAATTCGGATTATCTAAAGAGTCCGCATCTCCTTATCTTCCCATCAGAATTCGAAATGTATGCGTGATACTCTCCATCCAACACAATGGCCAGTTTTAATCTAAAACCTGTTAATACCATTTATATATGTAAATACGATCATCTTTCACGTACTGAAAGATAATCCAGACAGAACATAAAATATTGCTTTTATCGGGAACTTTTTACATTGACAAGTTAATACATGAAATTTGAAAGCCTCTCAGGAGTTTATCGGGAATGCCGAATAGACAGCTCCTGACAAATTTGGAACATGAATCACTGCTGGAATTATGGATGTTCGAACTTCTTTAACTTTATGAAGTGAAATTTAAGCGGTAGACTATTTTTAGTTGGACGTTATGATTGAAAAAAGAGCTTTGTTGTTGACTAAGAATGAAATGTATTTTTCCTTCAGCTTTATCTAGAATAAAGGAAAGTAGAGTGATGCTATAGTTTTGTAGAAATAGTTTGATTTGATTTCGAAAAATAGAAGAATTGAAGAAATGTTACATATTTTGCTGAAAACACATAAGAATTTCTCAAAAGAATTTTTACAAGGGACATATTTTATCCTTTACTGCATTTCAGAAAGAATCAACAAATATCAAGATATTTGAGAACATTCTGGCAGATTACCCTACTTATGATTGCTGTGGCATCATAACTAAGCAACAATATGGTTTTTGTGCTGGGAAATCGACTGAATCAAACCTAATTACCTATTCCCACTTCCTGTCGGAATCTTTGGAGAAGGGCTGCCAGACTGTGTATAAGACTTCTATAAGGCGTTCGACAGGGTCAACCATAACCTCTTACTCCAAAAGCTCAACAGATATGGTGTAGGTGGGGTACTATTGGAATGGATTGATAGTTATCTTAGGACTAGGACTCGAATGGTTAAAACAAATTATCACTACTCCACGTTATTCGAAGTAACCTTTGCTGTTCCTCAGGGGTCACATCTCGTCCCCTTATTATTCAATTTATTCATCAACGACATCATTCATTGCTTCCGGTACACCAAAGCCCCAATATATGCAGATGATTTAAACCTTTCCGTAATTATTTAAACCTCTTTGGATGTCCATAGGCTTCAGTCTGACCCTGACAATATATCAAACTGGTGCTCCTCAAATGACATGGACCTGAGTGCCACAAAGTACCATGGCATGTGCATTTTATCGATGATATGTACCTTCTACCACTTTTGATAACACTTCATATGGTTATGTATTGGAGTCTGACCTTGGGGTTGTTCTTGATCCCACCTTGAGTTCCAATCTACATATACCCACGGCTATCCATAAAGCCATGTAAATGCTAGCGTTTATCAAACGGCTAAGTCACGAATTCACTGATCCAACTGCTAGTAAAGCCCTTTATTGGTCACTGGTCCGTCCGCACCTGGAGTATTATTTTTCTGTCTGGCCCTCATTGTGTAACATATATCGAAAATGGCCAACACAACTTCCTCAAATTTATAGCATATAAATCGAGTGTTCGTTGCGAGTATGAGTTGCTACTGAGATCTCTGAGCATGTCCTTCCTGGAAACTACTCCCTGACGCTACTTTTCAATATTATTAACGTCAAAG